TTCTTTGATAGATATATCAAGAACTAAAATTGGCAGATCAAGTAAAGGTCTTATTTTAATGAGATGTACCAAATTGCTCCCAAAAGCACTACACAACTTTATAATAGTGACAGTCTTGATTAAAAGTAGCATTTTAATATCTCTTCCAACATGTAATTTTATTAAATTTCATGATTATATCCCACACAATGGGTAGGAAATGATTTATTATTTTTGAAATACATATGCATTCTTTTAGCATCTGCTGAGATGGATTTTTTACACATTTGTTTGGCACTTGTGCTTATTCTTATGTAAATCACTGTTCATATTTTGTCAGATTTTATATTAGATTGCTCATCCTTTTCTTTTTTATTTCTAGTTATTTAAATATTCCAAATTTAAATTTTTCTCAGTAATGAAAGTTGAAAATATTGCTTCCTTCTGGTAACTCTGTCCCATTCCTTCCCTTATTTTTTAATCTTACATATGTTATCATTGCTATATGATAGTATTTTTGCTGTGAACTTTTTATATTTGTAACAATATTTAACATAAGCTCTACCTCTGAACAAATTTTTAAGTTAACTAACTACAAGCACAATGTTGTACAAAAGATCTCTAGAACCTATTCATTTTATATAACAAACTTTATACTCATTAAAGAGTAATTCCCTGTTTTTCCCTCCCCCACACCCTGGCAACCACCATTCCTCTCTCTGTTTCTATAAGTTTGATTATTTATATACCTCATATAAGTGAAATAGTGCAGTATTTGTCTTTCTGTGACTGGCTTACTTTACTTAGCATACTGGCCTCCAGGTCAATCATGTTGTAGCATTTGGCAAGATTACCTTTATTTTTAAGGCTGAATAACCATTCATTGTATATATATTTACCATATTCTCTTTATTCATTCATCCATTGATAGAAATTTAAGTTGTTTCTATATTGTGGCTATTATGAATAATGCTGCAATATACATAGGAGTGAAGATATTTTTTGAAATCTTGACTTCAATTACAGTATTTTATGTATATACCCAGAAGTAGGATTGCTAGATCATATAATTCTATTTTTAATTTTTGGAAGAACCATCATACTGTTACCCACAATGGCTGCACCATTTCACATTCCCAAAAGCATAGGAGAGGTTTTTTTTTGAAAGGGGCTTTTAAAAAATAATAGCCATTCTAACAGACATGAGGTGATACCTCATGATTTTGATTTGCATTTCCTTGATCATTTGTGTTGTTGAGCATCTTTTTATGTACCTGTTGGACATTTGTATATCTTCCTTGGGGAAATGTATATTCAGTTTCTTTTTCTTCTTAAAATTGAGCTATTTGGTTTTTTGCCATTGAATTGTAAGAGATCCTTCTGTATTTTGGATATTAATCCCCTATCAGTTGTAGTTCACAAATTTTTCTCCTATTCTATAGTTTTCCTTTTACTCTATTTATTGCTTTCTTTTTTCCCATGCAGAAGTTTTATGTTTAATATATTTCTATTTGTTAATATTGCTTTTGTTACTTTTGTTTTGATGTCAAAAAAGAAGTCATTGCCAATTCCAATGTCATGAAGCTTCCCCCTGTGTTTTATCCTACAGCTTCAGGTCTTGTATAAATATTTAATTCATGTTAGGTTGAATTTTGTGTATGGTATAATATTTATAATTTAATATTTTGCATTAGGATATCTAGTTTTCCCAATTCCACTTGTCAAAGAGACTTTCCTTTTCCCCTTGTATATTCTTGGCTCTCTTGTTGATGATCAGTTGACCATATATGACTGAGGATTTTTATTCTATTTCATTAGTCTATGTTGTTTTTGTGCCATGTCTTGACTGGTGTTGTTTTATAGTAAGTCTTGAACTTGAGTAGTATAATTTCTCAACTTTGTTTTACCTTTTTCAAAATAATTTGGCTCTTCTATTTCCATAGCATTTCTGTATAAATTTTAGGATAATCTTATCCTACAAAAGGCCTCTGGTCCTTTGTTAGAGATAATGTTGAAACTATAGATAAATTTGGAGATGATAGATATTTAAATATTTTATATTTATATATTTATATATACTATATATATATATACACACACACATATATAGACTATGTCAATCTTCCAATCTATAAATGTGGAATATCTCTCCATTTACTTAGATTTTTTAATTTTTTCTCAGCATTGTTTTACATTTTTTATCTATAAATAGAATATTTTCTGTTAAATTTATTTTGTATTTGTATTTGTATTTGTTTATCACTTTTTATTATTGTTGCTCAGTTACAGTTGTCCTACCTTTTTCTCCATTGTTCTCCCCTGCTTCGCTCCCCCGACCCCAGCTCACACAGTCAATCCCCACTCCATTGTCCATGCCCATGGGTCCTCTATTTATGTTCCTTGACTTGCCTCTTCCCCTTTTTTCCCCTGTTATCCCCCTACATCACTGCCAATTTGTTCTTTATTTCCATGTCTCTGGTTCTATTTTGCTCATTTGTTTGTCTCATTGATTAGGTTCCAATCGTAGGTGAGATTATATGGTATCTGTTTTTCACCACCTAGCTTATTTCAATTAGCATAATGATCTCCATTTCCATCCATGCTGTCATGAAAGGTAGGAGTCCCTTCTTTCTTTCTGCTGTATAGTATTCTACTGTGTAAATGTACCACAGTTTTTTGATCCATTCATTTATCGATGGGCACTTAGGTTGCTTCCGTCACTTGGCTATTGTAAATTGTGCTGCTATGAACATTGGGGTGCATAGGTTCTTTTGAATTGGTGTTTTAGTAGTTTTAAAATTTTGATGTTACTGTGAATTAAGTAGTTTCTTAATTTTGTTTTCAGATTTTTTACTGCTATTTTGTAGACATACAATTGAAGTTTATACTTTAACTTTGTATCCAGTGGTCTCATGAAACCTGCTGATTAGTTTTAGTCATTCTTGAATGTATTCCTTAATTTTTTTTACAAATAGCTTCATGTCATCTATGAATAAAGATCATTTTATGACTTTTTAACTAAACTGGACATTTTAATTTGTTTTTCTAATGCATTTTCTAGAATCTACAGTGCAATGTTGAATAGAATTGGCAAAAACAGATAGTTTTTCTCATTCTAAATCTCAATCAAGTATGATATTAGGTTTACTCATAGATAACATTTATCAGGTTGTGGAATTTCTATTGATGCTTTGTGGAAAGTTTTTATCATGAGGGTTTTATTTTTGGAAATTGGTAAGTACTACTAACTTAGGGAACCAAGACATTCTCCCCACTTTGGTCAATTTCGTAATTTTCCCACCACTGTCCCCTAACAGAGAGAGCTGAAAGAGGTTTTAAGACACATCTGTTAAGATTTAGGGGAGATTATTTTATCTAAAATACATGGAATATCTATATACTGATTTCCATGGTGAGATAAATACAGAATAATCTGGGGTATATGTTCATGATTCATCAATTTATAGAGTTTAGTTGAAGTCATAAAAGTAGATAAGACCACTAAAGAAAAAGGAGAGAGCCAGGTAAAGATCTCTCAAAAATATCAATGTATGAATTGGATCGGACACAGCAAAATGAACTAAGAAATAAAATTCTGAGAGGTGGGATTAAAGAAAAATGCAAAAGTAGATTCATAAGAGCAAAAGCTCACTGAGAAATAAGTCAGCTTAGGAAAAGGAGTACTTCTTGATTTAGTAATTAAATGGTAATTTTTGGACTTAATAAGAACTATAAAAGTGAACTGAAATGTGAGTTTGTTAAGGCAGTGTTGCGCGTGGATCACCGGCCAGCAGTGATCACGGAACACTGTGGATGGCTCGACGATAAACATGCGAGAAAAAACACACATGCACAGAGACAGACTAGTTTCTGTGGGGAAGTAGGGACAAAATGGCCACTCCCCCTAGTGGGGAGCACGCAGATTTACCATACATACCTGCTTTTATTGGGCTCATTTTGCATAATAATTCAGGTAAAGTACAGTACTCATTAGGGGGAAGTAAGGAACTATAGAAAACAAGGAACTCTGCCAGTGTATTGAGTCAGGGTCAAAGAGCTGTAAGACTGAGGAACAAACTAACTTCCTCCTTGGACCCCTTTCATTCAACTGAGAGCATTCTAAACAAAGAAGCTTTCACAGTAATTTACATGTTCTTTCTTAGGCCTGATCACCCAGGGAATCTGCCTTTTTCAGCACAGAGCTGCACCACCCTGTCATTGTTTTAGGCTTAGGTGGAGCAAGTGAACTAAGGCAACCGAGAGACAAGGAGGTTTTCTCCCAGATGCTGAGAACTCAGGCTATGTCAAAGCCGAGGAGCGAGGGTCCATCACCCCCTTTTGCTGCAGCCCCCCAAGTCCTTCTTTTGGGGGGGCCTCCCAAAGTGATCATGCCTGTCTTAGGTCGTTCCCCCTGTGGGGAATCTTACCCGTCTTTGGCTAACCGACCAAGCTTTTTGGGGTTCAGTTATGAATAAAGCAGCAGAAGCAGCATTCCTGCCAGGGAGATAAGCTTTTGTCTCCTTGCTGGCTTATGGTTCCAAGGGTAGTCCCTTAGCCTTAGCCTAGGCGGGGGTTTCAGCTTCTGATACCAGTCAGGGCGGTTCCCAACAAGGCAGCACAGAGTCAGATGGCCTGGGGTTGGGAGTAGAAAAAGCATTCATAAGAGCATTAACCATCTCCCAGAGGTTTGCTATTTGGGGAGGAAAATAAGTTAGAAAAAAGCAACGAGACAGGAAGGGTTAAATGAAAATGTTTGAAAACATTAAAATAAAAACAACTTAAAGAGATAAGCAGGGTTTTGAGGGCAGCTACAGGGAAAAAAACCTCCAAGGCAAATGATGACTATGTCCTAGATACTAGAATATGTATGTGGGGGAAGAAAATGTATATGTGTATGGAGGTGGGACAGAGTATGAAAAAGGCAGGCTCTTTTAGAAAGCATCATGCAAATATGTCATAAGATTAAATAAATCTTTCTAATCAGTTTTCAGGTTCCAGGATTTAAAGTGGGATCCTGAACTATGTCAACATTCCTCACCCAGGCAGCCCCCAATAGCAGTACTTCAATGGCCCCAACCTTCCTGCTAGTGGGCATGCCAGGCCTATCAGTGGTACCTTCCTGGTGGACAATACCCCTCATCACTGTTTACCTTCTTTCTGTTCTGGGAAATGGTACTATTCTCTGGATCATTGCCATGGAGCCCACCTTGCACCACCCAATGTACTTCTTCCTCTTCCTGCTTGGTGTGTCTGATGTTGGTGTGGCCACAGCCTTGATGCCCACCCTGCTGGGTCTTGCCCTTGCTAACGCTCATGTGGTTCCTGCCTCAGCCTGCCTCCTGCAGATGTTCTTTGTCCATGTCTTCTCCATCATGGAATCCTCTGTCTTGCTCACCATGGCCTTAGATAGGGCACTGGCCATCTACCGCCCTCTCCACTACCCAACACTTCTCACCAATGATGTCATTAGAAAAATCAGCCTTGCCATTGCTTTCAGATGTCTGGGTCTCCATTTGCCCCTGCCATTCCTCCTGGCCTACATGCCCTACTGCCACCCACAGGTCCTGACCCATTCTTATTGCTTGCACCCAGATATGGCCCGACTGGCCTGCCCAGGAGCATGGGGTGCAGTCTACAGCCTCTTCGTGGTCCTATCAGCCATGGGATTGGATCCATTGCTTATTTTCTTCTCCTATGGCCTAATTGGCAGGGTATTGCAAAGTTTGGGATCCAATGAGAATCGCTGGAAGGCTGGCCAAACCTGTGCTGCCCACCTCTGTGCTGTGCTCCTCTTCTATGTTCCCATGATCCTCCTGGCACTCATTGACCGTCTTAGGGTGCCAGTCCCTCGACCTGCCCATACTCTGCTCTCCTATGTCCACTTCCTGCTTCCTCCATTGATAAACCCTATTCTCTATAGTGTCAAGATGAAGGAGATTAGAGAGAGAATATTCAAAAGGTTACAGCCCAGGAAGATAGGTTGCACTCAGTGAAGAGGATGGCCCACCACATTTGACAGCTCAAGGCTACCTGATCCAAAGGTTTCCATGACTGAGAACTCAGTCCGCCATGCATTAAATGGTCTTTCTACTGAGCATATGCACATGCACATGGATGTATATGCCTGTTCCTAGACATGTGCCTGTATATATTGATGAAAGCTTATGAACCTCAGACAATGGCAGTGGCCCACCCGCTGTTACACTACAGATCAATGGCACTGAAAAAGCCAGAATCTAGGTCTTGTCACAACCATCCAAGTGTGTCTGTTTTTGTTAATTTCAACACTACATCAATATCCAAATAGCTGATGAAATTGGAGGAGTTAAGCAATTACACAGAAAAGAAAAAGAAGATAGAACCATTCTACTCAACTGCATAGAGGACCTTCAACTAGTGTTGGACCTTTATGAAAAGTAGAGGTTCTACCTCTACTCATCCAATAACAATTGGATGAAGGAGAAGGACACAAGTAAATATCTCATTTAGGCTTTTCATACCAAGAGATATACTATATAACTCTGGTCAAACCAGGAAAAAGGAAGAGGTAAACTTTTTATCAGCCTTTACTTAGTTCAAAATGTTAATATAGCCCTGGCCAGGTAGCTTAGTTGGTTGAGGGTCATCCCCCACACCAAAAAGTTTCAGGTTTGGTATCCAGTTAAGACACATACCCAGGTTGCAGGTTCAATCACTGGTCAGGGTGCATACAGGAGGCAACTGATTGATGTTTCTCTCTCACATCAATGTATCTCTCTCTCTTTCCCCTTTCCTTCACTGTCTAAAATCAATAAACATGTCCTCTGGTCTGGATTAAAACAATGTTAGTATAATTGTTGAATGTATATGCATATTTATAATTAAAATTTCAAATACCTCAGAAATAATACAAAAAGTAAAACTTACTTTAAAGTATGGCATCCACATGTAATAATTACCTTTTTAGTGAACACTAATAAAAGTTGTTTGTTTTACTTTTTTTATTGTTCAGTTATAGTTGTCCTACCTTTTTGCCCATTGCTCTCCCCTTCCCTATACCCTCACCCTGTTCTCACAGTCAATCCCCACCCCATTGTCCATGCTCATGAATCCTCTATTGATAGTCCTTGCCTTGTCCCTTGCCCTTCTTTTCTCCTGTCATTTCCCTCTCTCCTCCTCACTGGTCACTGTCAGTTTGTTCTTTATTTCCATGTCTCTGGTTCTGTTTTGCTCATTTGTTTGTTTTGTTATTAGGTTCCACTTATAGGTGAGATCATATGGTACTTGTCTTTTGTCACCTGGTTTATTTCACATAGCATGATAAAAAATTCATATAAATGGAATCTCACGCATAGTAGATAAAATTGTTGGTCTTAATTTTTAGCAGTAGTATTATATATCCACATCCACACCCACATCATGGGGTCAGAGAGGGCAGATTGTACTCACTTTCATATTCACTTTGAGCTTGGAGACATGACTTGCTCTGGTGAACATAGTCCATATGACTTGTTTTGGTCAATAGGATGTTAATGGCTGTGTTAAGAGCAGAGGCCCAAGCGGTGTTTCTCCCTTTGCTGTGAGTAATGTTTAGCTAAGGTAGGTACTGCCCCTTCTGCCTGGTCCTAAAATGAGCTACATGGCACAAACCAATAGCCTGAAGTGAATCCTAGCTAACTGACTGGATATCTGAAACAGAGCCATCACCTCAAAACAGCCTAGATCAAGAGGATTTCTGTCAACCTGATGGTAAGCAAGAATTACAATAAATTCTGTAGCTGTAAGCAACTAATATTGGAGATTCTATGCAGAAAAAACAAACACTATAATTACAGTTTTATTATATAAATATGGTTAATTTCCTAATGATCTTTTCTTTATGTTCTTACAATTATTAATATACACATTAGGGGCTTGCTTTGTTTTCAGCACAAAAGTTGAGTAACATTCTACATGCTTTTCTATATCTTGTTTTTCTTATGGTAGAAATCCCTCAAAGTAAATAAGCATGATTCATTCAAAGACTACCTAATGTCCATGATATGGATGGACTGCAATGAACTCAGCTGTTTCCTAGAAATGGGTATTGGAGTAGTCTTCAGTATTATGCCACTCTAAATACTGTAATAGACATATTGATGCAGCTGTCCATGTTTAATTATGATTTTATTCCTATAAGATTGATCTCTGTGTCATCACTACTTTTTTCAAAGAGTTGTTCATTTTTTATTTCAATATGTATTGGGGAAGATTCCTTTCCCCAAAGGTTATAGTAATTTATATGTCTACCCTTTGTAGGAGTGTGCTTTTTTCTTGCATATCCACCAAAATTCACTATTATTACTATTCTTAAATTTTTATCAATTTTATAATTATCACATTCACCTTTATGTTGAATTCTCCCAATAGTAAGAATGAATGTCCTTCTTGTGTTTATTGATTTTTTGTCACCTCTATGAATATCTTCTTCAAATAACCTTCATCTATTTTTCTATTGTTATTATTTATGTTTCAAATATATCTTTGTAAGAGATGCTAGTTTTATGCCCTTACCAGTATAGTGCTTGTTCTTGGCCTTTTTTAAGCAACTAAATTTCAAATAAATATAGTTTTATGTAATCACTCCCACTTTTATTTTCCTTTATAATTTTGTTTTATATGTTGCTTTAAAAGTGTATCTTTGACTCCTTTGCTTTGCATGGTCTCTTAGACTTTTTTCTAGAGTTATAATAGTTTTAATTTTAAGTTTTTCTGTATCAGAAATCTAAACTTATATTTATCAAAGTCAATGTGTATTTATGATAAAAATAATCTATTAAATGCACTGAAATAAAATACTATGTCTGTAGGTCATCTTTTAAAATAATATTATATATAAAATATATGTTTGTGTGTGTTGCTTTACAGATCTTTTAATGACTTTGGTATATATGTGTCATATACATAGTCATACTACTGATCTATTCGAGTAGCTTCATAGTGTGATTTTGTCAATATGTGGTATAGTTACCCTCCTCTCACAAAACAAACAAGAGCTTTGGAATTCTAAGAGAAGCTACATTGTTTTTATAGACTGAATATAAGAGAATTAACATTTAATAATAAGTTTTTACATCTTATAATATCTAATAAATGTTTCACTTAGTAACATCTTTTGTCCATTTTTAAATAAAATTATGTTTTAATTAAAATTATGTCCATGTAGTTTTTAAGTGTATGATTTTGTTACTATTATAACTAAAATATTTCCCCATTTCTATTTCTACATGCATTGTTTGCTAGAGAAAAATTTTTATTGATATATACTTTATCAATTATCATATGCATTATAGTAGGTTTTTTTCTTTTGGATTTTATTTTTATACAGCACATTTAAGTAAAACTACATGATTGGTAACTTTTCTCCAATATTAATGTATATTATTTAGATTTATTTTATTGAATTCACTAGATCTCCAACCCATGAAAAAATTAAGAGTAAAAGTGAATATTCAAATCTTGTTTCTCACTTTAACAGAAATGCAATTAGTGTTTCACATGTTAGAACAATGGTTGGCTCCTAGATCTTTGGGTAAATTTTATAACATTGAAATAGTTCATTTATATTTCATTTTAACTTTTAAATAAGTGTACTTAATGACTCCTGCCAAATGTTTTTCAGCATCCACTAACATAATTATAATTACCTGCTTAAAAAGTATTAAAAATTTTTCTGATATTGAAACATCATTGTTCTCTTGTGTTTATAAAAGAACTCATATTAAATGAAAAGTAGCAAATTGAATTCACTTAGTCACAAAACAAGCACACACAATATGTAAGTATGCATCCAGGAATGCAGAAATAGTTATCTCCTTATAATCAAGTTTCTCTGCAAGGCATATTATATATTCTCATATTAAACAAATTAAATAAGTTAGTTTCTCTATTTCACAGAGGAGATTACTGACACGAGAATTAAAGAATACCTCAAGTTTATAAAATTAGACCTGTAACATTTATTTTAAGATTTGCCTTAATCCCAAACAAATCTTTAAAAATTGTTGAACAGAGAAACAGCCTGGTCTTAAGGCAATGTTTTTAATCAGTGATAAGGTCTCTGAGGAACCCTGCTTTCCCAAAGTCTACCCTTTCTTTCTACCTGATGCGCCCACCTCCAGCTTCCCATGTACTTATTGAGAGTACAATGATGTGGACAGAGTTTAGTGTCCCTCAAGACAGGGTGTGAATTCTCAGTCTACCACTTCCTGCATTATTTGGCATAAATTGTTCCCATATTTGTAAAACAGGTATAATGAGAATTATATGAATCAAGTCCCTGTATCACAGCATTGATTTGGAATTAAAAATAAAATTAAAATAACTATATTTAAACTTTGTATGCATATTAAATTTCAATTAAAACTTGACAGCAGGAAGATTTTTTAAACTTCTACCACTTCATTTTATGGACAGAAAACTGCAACTAGGGACCTGATAAGCATTTTGAATGAACCTTTGTAAATCAGTAGTAGATGAACTAAACCTGGCACTGCTGGCTACCTTTATACATTTATCAGTTCACTAAGTATGGGGAGCAAAGCACTCTCTTTCACTGAACACATCCACATCCATCCTGTCAAAGCCTCTGTGCTTGGTGGCTGCTATTACCACTGCTGGCCCAGCAAGTGACACTGTTTCACTGTTTCTCTCTCTCTCTCTCTCTCTCTCTCTCTCTCTCTCTCTCTCTCTCTCTCTCTCTCTCTCTCTCTCTCTCTCTCTCTCTCTCTTTCTCTCTCTCAATTGCTCCACATCCACATCTAACTGAGAGATTTGAGGAAAAACATTCTTTCTCCTCTAACAGCATACAGTGGGTACGAGTATTAGCAAGAACATTTCCAATTGTAAATAAAATGCAAGTGATGGGGGAAGTTGAATGAAACTGCAGACCATAAATATTCTGCAAAATCCGTTTCTCCAGTTGGTCCTATTGCTAAAGAAAACCCTCTGTGTGTGTGTATGTATGTGTGTGTGA